GGTGTATCAGTTGTTAATGAGGGTTAGTGATCTAGTGACAACAGCAAAATTCTATATCAATGATGTCAAGACTTCATTCAATGCTCTGCTTGGTCGATTGTGGCTTCACGAGTATAATATGGTTCATTCATCTCAACACTAGTTCAAAGAAGGAATTCCTTCAAATGTGAGCAAATATCCCAAGAACTTTCTTGAGCTCATTTTAAAAGTACATTTTTAAGGATTAGCTTGAGGCTAAATCATCTCATAGTATTAAAAGTTTCTTTTTAAGTATTTTATATGCCCTTTGAGCTATTTATTTGTAATTAAGAGTCTGTCAATATGCACCTCAGTATTTCTTCCTTTTTATTTTTTGAATACTACATCTATTAATTGTTGATACGTGGCCCCAACATATTTTAAGCCAAAATGCATTATATTGTAAAACTCTTTCTCTAGTAATAAAAATAGGTTTTTCAGCATTAGCGGGGTGCATCTTGATTTGATGGTATCCTGAGAATGTGTAAAAACCCCATAATCGAATGCCTTACAGTTAAACTGACCATGACAACAATTCACGACAATGAATTACTCTTTTAGATAAGTTGCATTTAAGTTTATCAAGTTTGCATTTATCCTCTATTTATTGTTTGCCTTATGAACCATCACCATGTTTCTTAACCAGTCAGGATAATGTAATTCACAGATGAAGCCAACGTCTAGCAATTTTTTAATTTCTTATTGGATAGGATTAGTTAGGGCAGTAGCTACGACTCTTATTTTCTGCTCGATGGACCTTCGTCGGATTGATATTGAGCATGTGGTATGTAACACTGATGTCGACTACATGCATCTTGTCAGCAGTACAAATGAACAAAACTTAGTGATCCTGTAAGTTGAGATTAACCATCCTCAACATTCCCCACTTATGCTTGAACCGGTTTGGAAAGTTCTTTCTAGCACTTCTTTGGAAACAAATACTTGCTCTCTTGTCTTGGTAGATTTCAGAATGATCTATCTATTCAGGTTGAGTTGGAGGTGATATTCTCGTACATTTACTACACCTTACAGATAGCATGTTCAAGATTGTACTAAGTCTGCTCGAATGATAATGATTTATCCTCTCCTAGGAAATTGACAGTTATGTGGTAAGTGGAAGTGACCTCCTTAAATGTGTTGAGCATAAGACAACCAAATTTAACATTGTAAGATATTAGGGCATCCTTCATTATGAAATCTTTTATGGTCATATACTACTTTTTCTCCCCAAATTACTAGCAGAGAGATGACTCCACAAATTATCTTCTTTTCTCCAAAAAAATCCATACAGATGACTAGAAGTATTCAACAATTGAGCATCCTTCATGTTTATCTTTTTAAAGACGCTTATAAAAGGATTGACTTACTCCTGGTGTCTATCAAAATGTTTCAATTTGGTGGTTGCCTATCACCGTAGTTGTCATGATTGCATCACTAAAAGGATTCCTGCCATTGGGCAAGTCAACTTCTATAAAGGTGTTAGGCGGATGGGTTGAAGTGGCTAACCAAGTCAAACATGTACAGCTCGATCGCCACAAGGCTGCAGGTCCATCTTCGTTAAATATAGCGAAGTACAACTACAGTGACATGCATTATTATGATAGGGACAAGTTCATTAGAAGTGACTTAAATGGTGCTTTACCCTGTTTCTAAGTGTCGAATTTTAGCATTACAAACTCCTTAGTTACCCCCACTCAAATCAATTTCTTGATGAGATTTAGGAGGTGTTGTCACTCGTCGGTATCGTGTCCATGGTCATGATGATAAACACAATACTTGCTTAGATTGCATTGGAAACTCCTAGCTTTCATCATTAGAGGCGTCTTGAAAAATTATTTACTTTGGTTGGTTATTATGATTTCAGCCATCGATACCCTTAACAGAGTTGCTTCTATTGAAGATTATTGAGGCAGCTCCTGCCTTCAATCTGGTCATCCTACGACCAACCTTCAATCGAGTTGTTGTGATAATTCTCGTCAAAAATGTCTTCCATGGGTGCTCTAATGATCTCTACGAATAAATTTGCTCCTCAAATCTCAATGTTTGCATAAAGAACTTCTCTTAAATTTAACTTTCGGCTCTCAGGTTCCAGAAGGACATGATAAATAATTATCTTCTTTAACCAAAATATGATTACGGGCGGCCTCCAAAAATTCAGTTAAAGTTATTCACTTTTGCAAAGCTAAGCACATATCTGAATGAGCCCACACAGAGACCCTAAGCAAACGCTATTTAAGAAACAGCTAGACCGAGATCTCTAATGTCTAAAATGTCTCATTGGAATTAAGTGACAACTTCTTAGACATTCATTAGATGTTTGTCGAATCTTCAATAGAGCATGAAAGCTCTTTTGTGGTTTCCAGACGTTGGAGAACTAAACTATGAAAATTTGTTTAAATTCACTTAATCAAGTAGTAACTTTTATGGGTAAGTTATTGAACCAATGCAAAATTGATTCCTTTAGGATCATGATGAATAAACATTTGAAGACATCATTTATTCACAATAAATATACTGTTGTTTTAAAAGAACCGTGCAGTCTCCACTAATATGCCTCCAAGTGTGCTACATCGTAGAGGTTATTGGGGGATTATTGAAGTGAAACCGCAGAGGTTATTGGGGGGTTATTGAGAAGTTGTTAAGGGGTCGTTGCGGGGGTTAATGCAGGTGGCTATTGAAGTGGAATTGTGGAGGTTATTGGGGGGTTATTTGGGGGTTATTGCGGGGGTTATTGAAGTGGAACTGCCAAAGTTAATGGGGGTTATTGAGGGGTTATTACGGTGTTATTGGAGTTAATATCCCAATTGCCTCCTAATAACATTCCAAATAACATCCGCAGTTTCACTTTAATAACTGCCACAGTTCCACTCCAATAACCTCTGCATTTCCACTCTAATATTTTTTTAGGTGGGCCTCATATAACACACATGACGGCATATTACTGTGAGTCTGCACATAGAGCTATGTCCGGAGTTTCAGACAGAAATTTTTTCCCATTAAACAACATGATCGTCCAAATTTGTTTTTCCTTTGTACAACAACAACAAAGCCTTAATCCCACTATGTGGGGTCGAGTACATGAATATTTTTTCTCCATTGCGTTCTATTTAGTGTCCTATTTTCATTTACTTCTAAAAAATTAAGATCATTTTTATACAATAAGCCCAAGTATTCCAAGATCCACCTCTGCCTTTCTTAACATAAGTCAAATCTAAAAGATCTACTCTCCCAATCGGATCACCAGATAGTTGACGTTTAATGTGACCAAACCATCTAAGAGAACTATCTCAAATTTTTGTCCATCACTGGAGCTACACTAACACCATCACAGATATATTCATTTCTCATTTTGTCTCTAAGTGTAAAGCCACTCATCCAGCTAATCATTCTAATCTCGACAACACTACTTAGTATTATGCTTCTCATTTAAAGGCCAACATTCTGCACCATAGAGCATTACAGGTCTCACCACCATCTCATAAAATTTTCCTTTCAATCCAAGCGATACTTTTCTATCACACAAAAGGCCTAAAGCATTCCTCCACTTCAATCAACCAACATGAATTCTACTATTAACACCCCCATCTATATCACCATCTCTTTGAACAGTAGACTCGAGATATCTAAATCATTCACACCTTTTAATAATTTAATCACCCAAGGTTACAGTTCTGTCACCAGAGCTACTACTACTAAAGTTAGATTCCAGGTATTTAATTTTAGTTCTACTCAAATGAAGGCCTTTACACTCCAACGTAGACCTCCATAATTCAAGTTTTTACTGTGTTTTTTTCTCTCTTCTATGAACTTTTTCTCGTCTTATCCACACGAAGGATGTCATCAGCAAAAAACATACACCAAGGTACATCCTCCTGTAAATGTCTAGTAAAGACCATCCATAATAGTAAGACCATCCATAACTAAAGGTAAGACCATCCATAACTAAAGCAAAAAAGATTGGGCTTAAAGCCGATCCCTGATGTAATTCAACAAAAATAGGAAAATATTTGATCAATTCTCTAACAATTCGAGCATCAATTCTCTATCAATTCGAACACAAGTAAAATTAATCACTTGAATATAAGTGATACCAACACCTTTCTTCTCAAGAACTCTCCAAAGGATATCTCTTGGAACCTTATAGTAAGCTTTTTCTAAATCAATAAAAATCAAATGTAGATCCTCCTTATTTTCTCTAAACTTCTCCATCAAACCTCTCAATATATATATAGCTTCCATAGTAGACCTGCCCTGTACTTGTAAGAAGTTAAAGAATGGATTTTTGAACCTCATGGGTGCTTTAGCTTCAACAATTTCTCTCAAAAAAGCATTCTCCAATGGTCTTCGTCCACTTTTTGTCCCTCGTATTTCTGCTCTCTTCCCTACCAACTAAATGAAAAGTAATTTTAATTGAATTTTATCACTTTCATTCTATTTCCTTCTGTTTTCAACTCTAGATTCAAACCACAGAGCCTTTGTAACCTTGACGTAAACCGTTTGGACCTTTCACAAACTTCAAAAAAAAAAAACAAGATAAATCATGAATTTAGTAATTTGTTTCTGAATACTATCATCAACAAAATACAACTGTTATATCCAGCAAACAAGCTAAATGCAGCCTTAAACCAGTTCATGAATGAAAGCAGATGATACTACCTGTACCAACCTTACTAAAAAATTTAAGTCTTTGCAGCTAAAATCTTTAAGAGGTATTTACAATTTTACATGCATGCCACAATTTTTATACATTTACATATCTAACACTTAATTTTCATATTTACTAATATAACATTTTGTTGTCAAAATCACATAAAATTTATGCATAAAATAATGCTGGGGATCAAAATGATGCATTCAGATCAAATTTTTTTATGTTTTTAATGAGAAAATTATATACAAATTATGTGATATGCAAATGAATCCCAAAAACCTTTAAACAAAAGTAGTAATTAAGCCAACAAAAACATAATAACCAACTAAGAACAAGGCATCATTGACAACACTAAAAACCATAAACCCGCATCCTTTCTGCAACTAACACAAGAAACAAATAGGGAGTCTAAAACAGGGAACAAAGTACACTACCAACCAAGACCTAAAAGTCAAGAAACATAACATAATTGTTTCAATTACCATGTTAAAAGCACAGAAATCCAAAGCAAAACATAAGAAATACAAAATTAAGCAAAGCATATGAAATTATATTCATTCCTTGGTAGATTTGTTGATGAGAGATTTGTGAATGTGGGGAATTACACCTCCTCCAGCAATGGTTCCTTTGATGAGAGTATCAAGTTCTTCGTCTCCTCGAATCGCCAGTTGAAGGTGACGAGGAGTGATTCGCTTCACCTTCAAGTCCTTACTGGCATTCCCAGCCAGCTCCAAAACCTCGGCAGTAAGGTATTCGAGAATAGCTGCAGAGTACACTGCTGCTGTTGCACCAACACGGCCATTGGCTGCAATTCTGGATTTCAGCTGTCGGTGAATACGACCAACTGGAAACTGGTGATGAATGAAATATAAGCAATGAATGTCAGATTAACAAATTGATAGCAATTTGAAGTTATAATTGTTTTGTAAAATTAGTTATATAATTTTTTATGTGATTTATTTCAAATTTAAAAAAAGATAGTTTTGATGGTATTTTTGATGTGATGCTAAAAGAATTGAGAGATATGCAAGTAAACATAAAAATTTATTCGTTAGAAATGTAAATACATAATAATTGTGAGATAAGTACTAAAAATGAGTACGAGACTTGTAAACATTTTCTCTTGAAGCCACAACACAAAATTATGAAAAAAAAAACGATCACCTAATAGAAATGTAACAATAATCTGAAAAACAAACCAACAAAAGGTATAACAGTGCCTTAACTAGCAAGAAGACATTGGCATGAGGAAAAACCTAAAAAATATTATTTTCAACTTTGTAACAGCACTTGGAAATGATCCCACAAGAGGCTTTATTGTGCGAAGTTCAATTGTCCTGTGTTAGTCTATATCTATATATATATATATATATATATATAATAAGGAAAAATAATTTAAAAAGGGAGCCTTCGGACATTGCATGGTACAGCTACTTGTATAAGCTTGATCTTATTAATACTTTTAAACGATTCTTGTTCAAAAGTATGTTCGAATTTTTACATAGACACCATTCAATTCCAATGTATTTACATATCAAACACCTAAATTTTATATTTTTACATACATACCATTTAATGGTGTATTTTATTTTTCAAAAGTTAAAATGATGGTATTTTTTATGTGACATAAAAGATTTTGGTGGTCTAAAGTTAAAAAAACAAAGCTTGGGTGTTAGATAAGTAAATATATATGAATTGCTTGCCATGCAATAAGTTTTCTACAGAAAAGTAGGAAACCAAAAGAGAATCAAGCAGAGCCTTCTTATCCCATTAAGTTATAGTTATGCTTGTAGGCAGCCATATGTTACCCAAGTTGTAAATTCAACAGCTTGAAGCAGTTATGTTTATGCAGAATGCAATTCACACATCTTGCACCAGTAACTGAACGTGCATGCAAAAGATTTAGAACATATATTACAGCACATAAATTTCATTAACCTAAAGACAAAATCAAGCTTAATTTTTAAAATAACTCAAATGGTAACTTTCAATGTGAAAAAGCAGAAACATAATTCTGCTAACCGGAAGTTTTAGCACAAAAGACACGGGGCTAGCCAAAAAATCATTTTTTTTTTCTCATCGAAATGTCGCAAAAAGCTTCACCTGGTTTTCCTGACCAAATCAAACTTTCAAAAACTCATCTGCGCACAAATCAAAAGAAGGAAAAACTTCTGCAAACATAATAAGAAAAGGAAGCAATGGAAGTGTAGAAGAGAAATAAGAGTTCCAAACCTGGAGTCCAGCACGAGAAGATCGCGAAACCGGCTTTCTTTTGTCCTTGTCCTTGGACGCTGCTGTCGTCTTTGCAGCAACAAGCCCCTTTCCACCCTTACCTGCCATCTTCCACCTGGAACAAAAAAAAAAAGTGTCACACAATAGAAACCAAAATCCTAACTCATAGCCCACGAAGAAACCCTAGGTCATGAATAAAGAAGCAAAACAAACCAAAAGCCTACTTTTTTCAGAAGATTTTAAACCACGGGGAAAATGAAAGGAAGAGAACGGACAAGGAGGTGCGATTCTACCTTGGAAGCCGAAGGGATCGATAGGTGAATGGAGACGACGTGAGAGAGAGAGAGAGAGAAAAGAAATGTGAGGGGGAAAGGGCGCGTTCAAGCAATTAATTGGAGAAGCGGGGAATTTGGGCGCTTTTGAGTTTATTGGCGGGTTGTTTAGGGGCAATTGAAAATTTTCAAATTTTAGTCGTATTTCCAACAAAGCTGGCCTTGATTTGTAAATATAACATTTTCGGGTGCTCTATTTGTAATTATCCCAAATATATCATTAAACGATTTTATTTTTAATTATTTTATGAAATTATTACAAACTCAAATATAAATTCAATGTATAAATTTGCTTTCCCCGATTCATATATATATATATATATATATAATCACAAAGCAAAAAAAAGTTATTTATCTAGCTGTCATGTCAATGATGAATTGAATCTTAATGCACTTTTTGAATTAAAAAATTTCAAAATTAAATTCAAAATCGTTGGACTTTTAATTTCAATAAACTTATAACTAAATTAAATACTATAATAAAGCTAAACAAGTCATACCAAAGGTGGTCTCACTTGAGTCCATACAAGCCAAATTAAGTATTTAAAACTTGATAAAAATGTGTTCGATATTAATTCAAGTATAAATAATCTTTGAATTTTCGATGCTTATAGTCCCTGGAGTAATTTTATAAGATGGTGGCGAGACCTGCAATGCTATGTGGCATTGAATGTTGGCCTTTAAAAGAGAAGCAAAAAATTAAGTTTTAAGTGTTGTCGAGATGAGAATGATTAAGTGGATAAGTGGCTTTACACATAGAGACAAACTGCGAAATGAATATATCTGTGACTGGGTTGGTTTAGCTCCAGTGACGAACAAAATTAGACTCAGTCATCTTAGATGGTTTGGTCACATTAAACTTCGACCATCTCATGATCCAATTAGATCCAATTAGAACAGTAGATGTTTTATATTCGACATATGTTAAGAAGGGCAAAGGTAGACATAGAATGACTTGGGCATATTGTATAAAAAATGATCTTAATTTATTGGAACTAGATGAAAATATGACGTTAAATAGGACGCAATCGAGAAAAAGGATTCATGTAGCCGACCCCACTTAGTGGGATAAAGGTTTTGTTGTTGTTTGTTGTTTTGTATAGCACTGGACTAATGTTGTTTGGTCGTTTTCAAACATTGCTAAACATATTCAAACTTTATCCTCTATCTCATCACCATTTCTTGATAGTCATTGTTTTATTTTTGTCACTCAATTAATGTCATCAAATCTTTTTCATTATCCTTCCAAGACTTCAATCTCTACTTTATTTACATGACACCATGCTTGATTACATTACTTTGAAATTATGTATTTTCATGTAAGGATAAAAATTAAACAAAAATTTTACAATGTGGATCATTTTATCCAGGCTAAGTCCCATTGTGAGGTTTACAACTAACATAATGTTTGATAAGCTACCTCTTAATTCTAACAAAAACTTAATTTAAAGCTCATTTATGTTAAAATAAATTGATTTATCAATTAATAATCCATAATCAAAGATAACATTTTGTTTAATATAAATAGATACTCCTTAGGCATCTGTATTTGTATGTTTTTTTAAGTTGTTCATTTAGAGCGATCATTCACATAAATGATCGTTTGTTCGGCTTTATAGGTTTAACAAATAACTTGTTTATAAACTCGTTAAAATTTATTTAATTAAAAATAAATTCTCATTTGCTAATTTGTTCAAAAATACTCATTTGATTAGAAAATAAATTATTTTATTATATTACTCGTTAATTTCTCACATATATATATA